CTAATAAGAATCCATAAAAGGAGATTATGTAACATAGGTTAGACAAATTGCTTACTCTATTGCAGTAGATTAGGCTTTAATGGTTTTACAGGTAAATAAAAGATTTGTTAAACAAATTGTTTGCGTGGTAAAATCAAACTGAATTCATCAATGGATTAGATTTTAGATTATTTGGAATGAGTTACAAATTTCAATATATGAAAAAAAAAAAAGGGGGGCATTTGCTTTACATTTAAATAAATTATTATAGCACCATAAAATGCAACCAAAAAAAAAGGAAAAATAAAAAAGAAACAAAGAGAATAAGGAAATGGAGAGATGATTGGTGGAGAATAAATAACCTACAAGCACCTGTGCCTTATAACACAAAAATATCCATGATTTCATTAATCAAAAGCCCTCAACCATCACAAGTACATATTAAGAGAAACTTCCAAGCTATTTATGAACCCACTATTTAAGCAAATTACGTAAATTAACCTAATCTTACACATTAAAACACTCATGAATAATAACACATACAATTAAAGTGATTAAAGTTTAAATGACATCGTAAACAACAAAATCTCTAGTTCTTAAATAGCTACATTAGGTATACACATTTTATATATACATTTTATATACACAGACATCCCTATCTGAACAAAACCACATTAACCACCAACATAAAGAAGGTTATACTTTTGCACACTTTCAAAAACCTTAACAACTTCAACAACTTGTTGCTCCTATTGATGTTGTAATGCTGCCTTTAGTGTCAACGTAATGAGGCAAAAACACATGGGATACTTTCATGGCTTTGATGCAAAAGAATAGTTTCAAATCTACAAAATGCATTTCCTAACAAGAAAAAAGAGAGAAAGAGAAAAAAAAATTTACATTATTTTCACCTTGAAACATAGAACCATATAACTTAAATGCATATGTTTTCCTTTTTGTTAAAAGTAAATTAAAGTTGAAGTTCAACTTATTAAGGACAACTAAGGCATGCACAACAATTTCAACAACGGATAATAAATATAAATCAACAATCTTCCTATGGACACAACAGTAATTTAATGAAGGTGTACAACAAAGTGAACCCACGAAATCTAAACAACATAAAGAAGCAAACATTTTGGTAGTTAGGCTAACTATTAAAAAAATATTAATCACTTGTACAATTAAAAACATGGATGATAATGAGTTTCCATTCCTATCTATCTTAGTGAATATCATTTTTTCATTACCCAAAAATCCTATCAAAAGAAGAAAAAGTAGATAAGAAAAACCCAAAATAAAATAAAGATTTTATTATATTTGATAGATAATTGATACTTTGAATAAGTTAGAGAAGAATAATGCTCAAAAGAGGCAAATGAAAATGAATTCCAAAAGCAGAAGTTCTCTCATTCGAATATCATACTACTCTTCAACCTTATTGAAGAGAAAAACCTAGCTTATACTTGAGAATTATATTCCTATGCTAGTGAACAATGATATCACTAAGCATCCAAAAATTACATATTTTTCTCTCACAAAATGTTCAAGAATATACATGGTTACATGAATACAAAAAAATGGAAATAAAATCAATAAATAAATTCACATTTAAAGTTTTTTGGGTGTTCAACTATAGATAATTCATTTGTTCATATTCACATTATCTAGCAAATTTTACATTTTTTGAAAAAAAATAATTTCTTTACTACATTCAGGAACTAAACAGAAAGAAAGGAACCCTAATATAGCAATATAATAAAATAATAGAAAAAAAAAACCTTGTAAATCCAAAAATGAAACTAAACACAATACTAGTGCCCACAATCAAATCTACAAGGAATAGTGAAGACACTAAAACAAATGAGACAACAATTGTCGTCAAGGAGGGGTTTTAGTCATCTTCATTCTCCCAAAAAAGTTATTTATTATTGAGCTCTCTTTTCACTTTTTTTGACTCAAAATATCTATTTTTGTAGGTTTTCCACAAGAATACGAATTCCCTTTGATTGTGTTTTTATTGGAATTCAATGAGAACCTTTTGTCATTTGGTTGGGATTAAAAAACATTCACTAGAAAAGATAAACACATTTATCATTTTTAGTTGAGAAATTTATTATTAGTAAAACATAGTTTGATATTAATAAGGTGTTATCAAAATCTTATTCATAAGCTCATTTTGCATGGGTAAAATCTAGAGGATCTCTCTAACATGCATATTTTGAGAAAGACTAGATTAAACCACATATTAAAGTATAATTATTATATTATTTTAATATAATTAATATTTAAAAAATAAAACTTGATTTTTATTTAATTAATTGTACAATTAAAATAACTTACATGGTATTGATAGTGAATTTAATGTGAATTAACATAAAAATAAATAATAATTACTTACTTAACTTACCTTTAAAAGGACAAATTAAAGAAGAGCTTTTTTAAAATATGCTTTTAGTTTAAAGACATAGGTTAATAATATTTTTTTGTCATAAATATTTATAAAAAATAAAAACTTACATTAATTTTAATGAAGGTACCAAATGGATTAATTTAATTAAACAATTGATAAATAAAAGTCAACTTTTATTTTTTCAATATAAATTTATAAGAAAAGATATATTCTCTCTATTCACTTTTAGTAGAGATTTAGTTTTTTT